TCAGGTTAGAACAAACAGAAACATACTCAGCTAAAGAGTAAATATACCTACTGAACTCACAAGAAAATTAATTTTTAATGAAAAAAAATAAGTATAATAGGGTTAGCAAGTCTGAGGTGACTTCACAAGAAAAATTTTAATGCTTAATACAGATAAGAGAGAGAATCCTGGATCCAGTACAGTGACCAGTTTAAAAGTTGTATTAGTCAGTTTTTTGTTGCTATAGCAAAATACCTAAGGAAGAGTAACTTTAAAAAGCAAAAGTTTAGTTAGTTCACACTTTCAAGTTTCACACAAGTTCAAGGCCATCCAGCAATGGCCTTCTTCCTGGCACAGGAATGTAATACAGGTCATTACATGGCAAAGGAAAGGAAGCATGAGTGTCTATCTTCTGAACTCTCCCTCTTTTCATAAAGCCAACAATACTGAATCATGGGAGCTCCAACCTGATAGTCTTAGCTAACCCTAGTCATCTCCCAAAGAGCCACCACTAAATACAATGGTCTAATTAAACTTCCACCCTGTTACTACCTCACAACAGGGATTAAATTTCAGTGGAAGACACACTCAAGCTATACCTAAGCCATGGAAAAAGTAACAATCAGTTGGACCATCTGCATAGGATCCTCGTTCAACTTCCTACCAGCTATGAAAGTTAGTACTGTCATTTCCACACCTAAAATGAGGATAATAATAACTATTTCATAGATATTAAATGTACTAAATTATATAAAGCATGCAGCAAAATGACTAGGTCATGGTAAGCTCCTAAAAATATTAGGTGTTAATTCTGTTAGGCACAGTTTATAAAGTACTTCTTTATGTGTTATCTCTGTCAGCAATAAGTATGGTAACAAACATCATGGTTTTCCTAGGACTGTCCCAATTTATTCTTGATATATATATATATATGTATATATGTATATATTTAATACTATATATATAATAACACCCTCTTCCTTCTCAAAAATATCCTAATTTGGAAAATAAATTGTTAACTTATCACTGGGTCTCAGAATAGAATTAGGAAAAACCACCAAGAAATACCTGGGTTGACAGAGCTGAGGAAAAGTTATCTGTGAAATACAACCCAGAAGGGTCAGGGAGGTGAGAGACCATCAATTCCAAGTCAGTTCTATAGAGGCAGAGCAGATTTAATACCATTCTAGATAGGTTTTAACATCCAGAGCAGGAATGGGGGTAGGGCATCTGTTCTGAGGAAGAATTGCCTTTCAGTATGACAATCAGAAGATAATAAGAATCCCAAATGTGTAGTGGTGTTAGGGAGAGAAAAGATGTTGACAAATTTGGTCTTTGTGATTCACTAGTGAGAGAGGAACAAATCTCATTTTTTGGACTGACTAACTCAAAACACACTGCCATCACTGAGAGGGATACTTTGGAGGAAAAGTAATGGAAAGAAGATAAAGAGCTCAATTTTAGACACATTAAATTCATAATACCTAAGAGACACTGGAGCAGAAATTTTCAGAAGATAGTTTTATATATGAGTTTGGTGCTAGGAGAGCTCCAGGTTTCAGAGCATTTTACCTGGAGGTGGTAACTTAAGCCTGGAGTGACTGACTTAAGACGAGGCTTTAGCTAGGAGAGAAAAAGTGTGCTGGGATGAACTTTAAGAAACAACAGCATTTTCATATGTTGGGCAGAAGAAAAAGAAGCAGATACGTACTTAACAATATATCTTATCTAAATTTGCTCCCTCCATCAATATCCTTTGTCCTCTCCTTCTTAGAATAGTTTCAGCAGTTCTGAAAGAGAGTTTCTGATTAGAGACTTTCCATAGTGTTTCATGGCACCAGAAGGCCAAGGTGAAGTGTCTGTCGGCTTTGGCAATTAAGATCGCTTGCTGAACAGCCATACAGTGGTAAAATAGGAAATGAAAGCAAATGCCTTCACTTAGGGAAGGAAGATGTGAGGAAGAATGAAGCTAGAAAAATCCTTGACCATCCAATATGGTAGACACTCGCCATATATGTCTACTTAAATAGAAGTAAATTTTGTTTCTCAATAGCACTAGCCACATTAAAAGTACTCAATAATCCCACATAACTTGTGGCTATACTGTTCTATGGTGCAGGGAGAATATTTCCTTTATCACAGAAAGTTGTTTTTGGACAGTATTAAAACCTGCAGTAGAAATGGGAAGGTAGAAGAGACTTGTGTCAGAAGAGGATCTCTTCCTGTCTCCATGACCACTTGAGATAAGCCTTAAATGAGCATGTTTATAATCTATGAGTCAAGTTGAAGGCAGAGAAATTGTATTCAAAAAGAAAAACTGAGTCTATAAGAAAGGTTGGGGGGGGGTACTGGCAGGACTGACAGGGCTGAATCCTGGGTAAAAAGAGTAGCCTCTCCATAAATAGGTTTTAAAAGATAGGAAAGGTATATATTCAGCCTCCTTTGGCAAAGCCAATAAACAAATAATTATGGTAGCTATGGTGACTTGTTGAGAAAATATAGCATTGTAAATTTAAACAGACCTTTTTTTTTTCCTGTTGAGTACCTCCTAATGCTTGACTGGGAAATAGGAATGTATTTTAAAATTTGGGTGTTAAACCATAGTTTGAAACAGATGCATGTTTGCACTTAAGTTGTTTTATTAGTTGGTAATTATAATAGCTACAATTTACTGATACCTATATTAGGATGGTATTACATTAACTGTCTTCTCTAAAAATAGAACAACTCTCACAGTTTTTATTATCTTTATAGATTAAGTAAATTATTTAAAGGCACAGAGCAGCTACTAAACAGGGTTGTGTTAGAACATGGATATAAAATATAGGTGCACAGTTGGACAATTAGAGTACAGAGAATGATCAGAGTGCTGAGGCACACACAGCAGACACCCCTAATTTGAGTTGGCAAGGAAGGCTTTTTGGATGTGACAACTGACTCCTAAGATCTGAAAGTTGTTCATTAGTGGAAAGAGTAATCCAAGAAGAAGACACAATAACTTCTTAGAGTTGACATTAAAGGAAGTAGAATTCCAGTGTGGTTGGAATATAAACTGAAAAGCGAGATAGCAGAGGGGTTGGTTCCCCAGCTTCCTCAATTTATGTTCTTCTCCATACATTGTACTCAGTAGGTGGATTTCCTAAGCAGAGATACTAATGACTAAGAAAAATGGTTAACATTTCAGGATTTCATCTATCCAGTAAATTGAGAGAAAGAGTACAGGAGAAACCACAGAGGTTTGTGCGTAAGACTGTAAAACATAGCCATCTAGTGGTCTGTCTTACACAGAAGGAATTATTTGTAGAGATTCTGATCTGCACCTGTGTTCTCACAAGCTCAGTGCAACCTTTGTGTAGTCATGTCTATTACATTGCTTTTAACAATTTTTCTTTCCTAATCTAATTGTAATTTTAAATGTTCATTTTAAAGGAACTGGAGTCTTCTACAATTTGTTATTTTGTTGTAGCTTTTAGATTTTTACTGACAAAGCTGAATGACTGCAAACTTCTCTGTTCCTTCATCAATATTAGCCTAATGACATTGATTCAAGTTTTTAAAATATGGTTTTCTAATCTGGTCTTGAAATCATATTTTATTTATTAGATGAAATGTCTCATTGTACAAGCATCTTAAACTATTTGTACTTAGTGTGGGGAGCAGAAGAATTTAGCAGTAATGGATTACTTTTCTTCTGAGAGGCAGAATGCCACATTGGCCTAACCAGTTTGGTTGAGTTATAATTTTCTTTGTTCATTTTAAAGAGATTGGTCCTATTTTCTGATTGGAGATTTCACCCAGGATAAACTGATTTCATAGGCAAGAATTGAAAACCTACTTTGAATCATTAAGCCAAGACTATTTGTAAATATGACAGGGTCCATTAACATCATTTTGGAAAGACTTCAGTTCCCCTTTCACCAATTTCTAAATAATAATGTTAGTATATGTATCATGGCTAATCCAGTTATGACTCTCTTCTGATAGCCATGAAAAAAGTTTGTAAATGTTATTTAATGACACTGCAAATATAATTAAAATGTAGGCGACAGGACTTCATAATCCTAATTTCATCATTACCAGCAGTAAGAATAGGGTAAGAAAAGGAAGAATTGGGAGTTGCCATGAGAGTGGCATGTTTCCTATTCACACAGTGACATAAGTGGGTTTGAAGATGTAATGGTGAGGATTAAAATGTTCAAGAACTTTCTGTAGACAAATTTTTTATCTGTGTGATCGTATCATAAATAATTTGTTTTTATGGAGCTGGATTATCCACGTTTACTCTATAAATATGCAGGAAGGCATAAAATACATTTGATAATGAATCAATCTAATGATTTTGCTTTTTAGATATCTTTATTTCAAACTGATTTAAAAGTATTCTTTGCTCACAAAATAATTCTTCAGAAACTTGTTCATTTCTCATTTAAAAGGAAAAATAAAAACCAATTATAGTAGCACATTAGCAAAATAATAAAAACTTTTGCTTCCCAGGTACCAAATGGATACTTATTTGATTAATGTGTTTTACAAGATCTGCTTGAAATTATGTATTTAGTTTCTATGGCTTATGCCTTAATAGGTTTTTAAAGACAACTTCAAAGAGGTTGCCTGTAAATACAGCATTTTGCTAATGTAGCTGTTGATATTTTATTTTAGAAAGCTGATGAATTCTTAACTTCCATATCAGTTTAACTATACTGTGAAAGCCATTTATTGAAATGTACTATGCAGTCACGTGCACTATTTTGTTTCTACAAATGTGCCATAATATGTGGGCTCTTGAAATAACAAAAGAAGTATATGGTTTATCAAATGAAATGTAAAGGTATACTATTCTTTCACTGTTCTGGGAATTCTGGATTTTTTTCTTTCTAATATGCTTGAAAGTCTGAGGGCAGCCTTCCCTCTCAAAGTATTACTATGAGGAATCAAGAGATGATGTTTTTAAGGCACCAAATTTTATAAATTTTGCAATCATATCAACCCTCCACCTCTTTATCTCTTCTCTTTTTCCACAGGTGATTTCTATTCACTACTTTCCAAGCTGCTAGGAGAAAGGGAAGATGTTGTCCATGTGCACAAGTATAATCCTACAGAAAAGGCAGAATCAGAGTCAGACCTGGTAGCTGAGATTGCAAACGTAGTCCAGAAAAAGGATCTTGGTCGGTCTGATGCCAGACAGGGTGCAGAATCTGGGGAGAGGGGCAATGCTATTCTTGTCAGAGACAGAATTCACAAATTCCACAGACTAGAATCAACTTTGAGGCCAGCAGAGAGCAGAGTTTTATCATTACAGCACCCTGGTGAAGGCGCCTGGGAACCAGAACACACAGGAGGTGCGTTTAGGGTTTGTTCTAAGGAATGAAGTGTGAAACATTGCAGTCCACATTAGCAAAATCTGAAGGGAATAAAAATTAATAAGTGATAAAATTCATTCATGAAAAAGGCTTAGAAGAAGTTATTTCTATCTTGTTACTTCCTTTGAGGAGTTTTTTCTTTTTGTTTTGGTCCAATACTACATACAGTGTTTGTTCAATGACTAAACAAGTAGTGCAAAGACCAAAAATGCTTGAATCATTTTGGGAAGGATAGTATGTGAAATTCAGGCTAATAAATTGACATTTTCCATTTTGCTCAATAGAAAGAAATTGAAATTTCAAAATCTTTCATGTAAATCCCAGTGTATGCAATGCTTACACACTATCTTCTTTAAAGTAATTAAATTCCTCATACTTTTAACATTCTTGTCCAACTGACCTGCAAAATGTATCTTTATGACCTTGATTTCTTAAGTTCCATTATCAATTGCTATCTTAATTGGGAAAATGACGATTTATTTTTGAAGGGACCTCTAGTAAGTCAATAACTATCAGATTTATCTTTATTTCAAACCAGAATTGGCTTCCCTATTTAGAGGACAATACCTTATTCCCTTCAGGTTTCTGTACCAGCAAGCTATAGATGCCTCATCTTTGTCTTTAATTTTGTTGTGGCCTCTGTGATATTGATTGTGTTTCATAGTACTTGCTAATGTGGAAAGCTAGATAATACAGCATGTGGAGATAATCTCCAAAAAAGTAACAGATATGCATGCATGGCAGCTGTCCATGCGTGGGCTAGAGTGGCACAGGCTGCCAGCTTGATGTTTTCAAATTCAGCTTTGCAGGAAGCCATAAATTATTCAACACCCAGCTGATTTTTATTTATAATTGAAAAAAATTAGCATGCAGTGCCTTTTGCTCACACGGAAGTTTCAAGCATTGTCCATTGGGATTGGCCTAATGGTTTTGTATGAAATGTTAACTGGAACCTAGACTTTTATCTCTATATTTTAACTGGATCAGCCCTGCTTTAACTCATTCTAAATTTGTCAGATAAAACTGTGTTTTTCAAGAGGTAGTCCCTAGACCCTCTTGCCTGAGAATCACTTAAGGTGTTTAAGAAAAAAAATAGACTCTTTGTATCCTATCAGAGAACAACTGAATTGGCATCTCTCTTAGTAAGGTACCTACATATGTGCAATTTGTCAAGCCCCTGTCTGTTTCATAAGCACACAGAACTGTCTGAACCTTTTTATTAAGGATAGTGAACTGTAACCCAAACATCATGGAAATATAAAAGGCGAAACGTCCTCTTAGGTGAGAATACAATTCTGTTCAAGTGTGAAGTATTAGAGTTACAACAGACTTCATTCCATGACTTATCTTTGTTACTTTTGGATTTGAAATGATATCAAGGCTATTTTTAAACATCGTAAGTATTGATTTAAAAATCAGAGTTTGACTTAAGTCTTTGTATTTCTGAAACCTTCTTAGTTTTTCTAAGAAAGGAATTCTTAAAATACAGGAAATACATTTGCTTGCCATATCTCCTCATACCTTTCAGGGTAGTCACATGGCAGTGCTCAGGAGAAAAATGTTTCACCAGGATCTGGTTTGGGAAGCCTCCTTTCATCTTCTATGTGAGAATAAATATCACTGAACCTAATACATTAGTGAGCCATAGACAGCACAAACCCTAATTATTGAAAAGAAAATGTACATGTTTTACTTTCTGAAATGACATATTTGAATGTTATTTTAGTACTCTAATTCCAAAACCTTTTAAAAATTAAATGCAAATAGTGAAATTCATATTTAGAAAATCTACTTCTAAAAGCCATTTCACTGTTCACTATTACACAATGTAACTTTATTTGGTGCTGTGTCATTCCACTGGATAAGTCAGAGGAAGACCTATCCTTAGGAAGCTTACATTTTACAAAAAGAAAGTAGAAAGTTATTCGCATTTAATGCCCTAATAGGATATGTTAGTAGTCTAACTCATGCATTCCTCAGGGTATTGACAAGGGAAATAAGTTTGATAGATAATCTACTGTTTCTCTCATGCCCTTTCTTTAACATCACTCTAAGTGCCTAATTTGCTATAAAGAAAGTTACTGTATATATTTTAGATGTCTTTTAAGACATATTAGTTTTCAAAAGAAGAAACTGAAGCCAAGAGAAGTTAACATATTTGAGTGAAGTTACAAAGTCTGAATTTAAAATTTGAACTTTATGACTTCCAGTGTGTACCTTCTAGTTCCTTAATTTCAATAGAGTTGTGCTCAAACAAAGCAAAGCAGGGTCAAATTGCTTACCCAGTTCAGACATGCTTTTCTGAGTTCTGGTCCCTCCCTACTTAGAAGCTGGAGATTTCCACTCAATACCCTATTCTTTTGTCCCCAGTTCTTGCTACCTGCACAACCTAAAACACTGGTATTTTCAGCAACAGTACTTTAGATTCCACGAAGTATCCATATGTTGAAACAACAATGAGGTAATGGATTCCATCCAGCTAACTTGTATTCAAAGGTCCAATTAATGGATAAGCTAAAAAAAAAATCTGGGTATGACTGTGCAGTAGGCCCAGGAATACTTGAGGTTTTCAAAAATGTGCCATTTTATGGACATTGAGTTTGATCAGGATTCCACTTGGTTCCACACCCTCACATTTGGAATTAAAGTTGGAGGTTCACCACCTTTTTGAGGGGTGGATATCAGCTCTTCATAGCTGAGAAAGTCCTCAGCATTCTTCAGAACAAGATGTTTAAGTGTTGAGTTTTTGTTGTATCTCTAAGAGAGCAGATATCTGTACATTACAGTGTAGCCTTTCCCCACACCCAGGTAATTCTGCATTTGACCAAAATAAAATTTAGAAGTCACTTCATGGAAGTACTATAATGTAGCAGACTCCAGACCCTGGTGCCTCACTGCCTGGCTTTGAATTCATGCTGTACCATTTATACTGTGATCCTTTGGCACTTTTTTTTTTTTTTTAACTCTCTAAGCTTTAGTTTTTACATCTATAAAATAAGGATTACAATGGTGCAATCTTAGAGTTGAAGTGAGGCTCAGATGAAATTATACAAGGAAAGTGTTTTGAACAGTGTCTAGCACATAGAAAGCATTGACTAAATAGTATGATGCTTTCATAATAATTATGATTTTTGCTACCTTAAGATTCCAAAATTAAATACCAAAGTATAAATATTAATTGCTTTATCTTAAGCAGCATTTATGAGAGAATTTTCCTCAGATAGGTAGAAAAGCTGCAAATTTTCACAGCTTAAGTTGAGAAAGTGCTGAGCAGTGTTCTAACATGATGAGAGTTTGTGACTCTTCAAATATCCGATCACTTACACTAATCTGCCTTGGTGGTTGTATTTGATATATACATATACATTGTTTGAAAATATTAAACTTGGTAAAGTGAGAAGCAAATGCATTCCTTTTTTATAATGAGTATAGCTTAATTTCTGTCATCAGTAGTTTAATATCTATAAAGAAGTAGCATTAGTAGAGTAGAAATAAAATTTTAAGCTTTTTTTATATTTGTTGCCTTCTTCAAACTAGGCTTATTTCACAATCACTGAAAAACTACAGATAGTTCTAGTTGCAGATCGTATTGCACAGCTGTACACTGGCACATGGGAGATTAATTCAGCATGGGGTGGGTGAGAATAGCAACAAATATACAGCACTTGCTTTGAACCACATTGAGCAGTATAGATTTATTAATTCATTTAATCCTCACAGCAATCCTATTTATAAGCCCATTTTAGAGAGCAAGAAACTTAGACATAGGAAGGTTAAATCACATGCTTGATCGCCACAATTCAGGCAACCAAGATGCAAAGCCAGGCAGACTTGCTCCTGAATCTTGGTTTTTAATCACTTTGTTATTCTGCATCTCACAAAAATAGGTACTAACTACATAATAGCTAAAAAGATTATTTTTTTCTCAGTCATCCATTCATGTCAATCTACAATTATAATAACCACAGGTGCAGATTGTTTCATTATGTGTTCACAATCAGTATCCAGAGATGAAAATCCCACTTGCCATTAAAGAAAGTTTGTTTCTGCTAGTGCTTTTTAAGCCCTGGTAATATCTTACCTCTTTTTCACACTTCCTTCCCATTAAATGAAACATTATAATTAATTCCTATTTTCTTCCAACTTTGTTATAAGTATTTCTCCTGTAGTTTTAGTTAATTATAGTTATTGCTGGCACTTCTGATAAATAACAATCTCTGTCCAAAATTAAGCATCTTTTTTTTAACTCTTTGAAAATTTACAACTGTAGGAAAGGCAACAGCTACATTTTGTTTGCTGAAATGTTCTAGTGATTTTTTTCCAAGCTCTTTTTCCTTAGGATTAAATGTGAAGTTAAGTCATAGTTCTGGGTATGAATTTATTTTTTCAACTTTATCTAGCTCTGTTGGTCCTTACGTAATACAGATAAATGAATGCCCTTTTAAATGCTTATTAATAATTTCATGTGAAAGTAGCATTGATCACCAACATTAATCTCTTTCTTGGAAAGGGGTAAAATTCTGTTCCTGATTTATTGATGTAATTTTAATAGTAATGTTTAATTTTTCTAAAGCTAGTAATTTTAATATATGACAGAATACAAGGCTATACATTTACCTCTATGGCGAATACAAGAATTCTTCATAAAATAATATAATTTGTTTATTATAAATAATATTATTTGTTGCTTGGAAAGAATAATTTTTTTAAATCTTGGGAGGTTTTTTTATACCACTTTTCATATTTTAGATATCATGATGAATTTGTGTCAAGGCTGCTAGGATCAGTAGTTTACCTTATTTTTTAAAAACAAAAGTTGTTTCCTCTAATACATTCTCAAAATCAGATTTTTAAATGTAAGCAACCAAACTTAAATAATCCTATTGTTTCCCATCTGAATTTAGAGCGGTTCACACTGAGAGTCAGAAATGTCAGCCCAAGTAATTTGCATTTAATTTTCAGGTTAAAATCATAACTCTGCAGTTTTAACAAGTCATACACTGAATCATTTCTTAAATAAAGACTAAGGAATCTGAGTAAGAATTTTTAAAGGCTTCATGATTAAAAATGCAGTTTAAGATAGAATCCAAATACGTTTTATCATACAGTATCTTTAGTAAGGATTTGAAATTTTCCTTAACTACAGATTAGAAAATAATCATCCTTGATATTAGGGTCTGAAGTCTGGGTCAAGGCTAAAATTTCCTTTCTGTCAAATGAGAAAATGACATGATATGGTTCTAATATAGTTCTAGCATTCCATAATTCTTGTGTAAATGACAGCAGTGATAGGAAAAGCAATCAGTATGAATTTCATCTACATACATCACTGTCCTAAATGACTTTCTTGATTTTTAATCATTTAGTCACAAAGGGAGTAACCTTTAACTACCTAATATCAAAAAGATGGTTTCACTGGAAACAGAAACATCAATTACCTGAGCCAGATTCACAGAAAAGAACAACAACTCAATTTTCCTTAAACTATCCTAGAATTTCTGTTGAACAGAAATCCAGAATCAAAGTTTTGAGATCTTACATAGATAACCTTAATACATATAAGGATGTTTTTAAATATAAGTAAAAAGAATAAGTTTTCCAAACATTTGGTACTAAAAGAGCTAGGTTGCTCATGGTATTAGACTTCACACATTTCCTTACTTCTCACCTTTTGCTATATATTCACACTGCCTTTCCTTCTTGAAAAATCTTACCAAAAAAGGATTCATCAGTGACAAGCATTTGTACAAGTATTTGGTATGGTTAGGCTCAAAACACCCAAAACACCTCTAATTCTTTTTGTGTACTATCAAGCACTTAACCAATCTAAGAGCATATAATAATCGGGACTATTCATGACCGTATTTAAGTTCTTCACGTAATGTTTCTAATACTTTATGAAATTGATATTTAACCAAAATGTACTTTTTTTAAGACATTGGATATTTTCTATCAGAATTAGTTATTTCTGCACCTTTATGAGCAGCACTTGGCTCTCAGTACATGTTGATGGATCACTGAATAGAAAGATTGTAGGAGCCAGGACATGTTTCTGTTATCTTAAATGAGAATGATTAGCTAATTCACATTGTTACTGAATATCCTTAGAAAATGGTCAGCACTGTTCTAGAGGGTAAAAAGAGCTGGTACAAGTGAATTATGACATTACAAGGGCATGTAAATGCTAGCTGACAACATAAACAAGTGGAGACTGACTGGAGCACAGAACTCAGCTTAGTGTATTTATTAAGCCGTGCAGTAGCAGGCCCTGTGTGACACTTGGTGACAAAGCAGTGAATAACTTATGGTCACTGCCCTCGAGAAATTCTGTCTCACTATAGTGATTCTGGGCTTTGAGAATCCAATGAAAGAAATTAAATATCTACTTTGAGATTCACATGGAGTCCATCCAGAAGTTTTAGGAGTTGGTGAGTAAGTATAGAAGAATGACAACTAAAATGGACAAGTGATAACCAAGACAAGAATCAAGTACAACCTGAGATTCAAGCAATTTTAAACTATTTAAAACATTTTCTTTGCGGAGTGACTAATCCATCTTTTGATCTATGTAGACATCTCTAATTATAATGCTTATATTCAGCTGCTAAAGGTAACTTTGAAAAACACAATTTTAACCATGTCACCCTATGCTTTAAAACCTTCAGTGTCTCACAATTGCCTGTAGCAGCAATTTGCAATCTTTTCTCCTATTTTGACAAGCAAGCATGATTGATGATGGATGCTATTCATCTGAGAGCTCCATTCACATCCACTGCTATGCCCAGGGTTATTTGTGAATTCAGGCATCCCAGCTGTGACTCTGCCCCCTTCTCCTTAACCCAGGAAGGCTTATCACAATACACATGAGTGAAAGTGACATCCACATGTGCCCCAATACATTTCAAAAGTAAATTATTCACCAATTCTGTGTTTTACTGCTACTCATAAAGTACTTGTAGCATGCCTTAAAATTAATCAGCATCTAGGTCAAGACACCACAGCTAAAAACTATATTCTCATTATTAAATGCAGACTCCTCTGCGTGGTATACAGTACAGTGCATTTTCTTGTCTGAGTTCAACCCAAATCTCAGCGATGGCTTATCCTGCCCCCATGTTCCCACAACCAGCTGACATGCACAAGTTTCCTCTCCAGATTTCTAAACATCTTGAAACACATTCTGCAATTATAAGCATCCTGTTTTCTTCTTTCTGACCAGATTATTCTTTGCCCATGTCTACTTTAACTGTGAACACAAACGTTTACTTCTCTGAGAAAACTTCTGAGGAGACCTCTACTCCATCCCAAACCTCAGGAAGCACATGTGTTTGGTTTCTGTTTTTCCTCAATTTATCTTATTATATACTTATCCTATTTTTTTAAATATCGCTATTATATCTTTTTATTCATCAAGGCAAAAACCCATTTGTGTGTGTGTGTGTGTGTGTGTTCCTAAAATCTGCTATAGTGCCTAATAGAGCATGTATTAGGGGATATTTGTTGAAGATGCTTCAACAAAGGTTGCTGCCGGAATTGGTTTAGGCTTCCTAGTAATTGTGCTGTTTTGTTAACTTACATTATGAGGAAAATTACACTCAATTTCCACTCAAAGATATTTTGAGTGGAAAGGTACTTTTTCCTTTTATATAATGAGAGAATTATTTTTAAGTGCTTACTCTCACATCAGCATCTGTCTAGTTTTCAGGAACTGATAATAAGAGGCTGTGCTTCCCTTTCTTCTGCCAGTCTCTAATGCCTGTCTTTGAGGGTTTCACTGCTGTGTTGCCACATCCTTGAGAGGGTAGGAAGAAGAAACAAGACTCAACTTGCTGCTTTTTTATTTCTTAGCATGTTTGTTAAAGCATTTAAGAGAGAAAGAAATATTGACACTGATACAGTAGCTTTCACAGTTCTCTTCATAATTATACATATTATTATATATAGATAATACCATACATTATACCTATATTCATGAACATGTTTGCAACAGGGATTAGCACAAATGAACTCAGGTAATCTCTAACAATAAATGTATTCTGATAAAAAAATGAGAATAATTTGGAAATCATTTAGTCACAGTTTATTTCATTTTTCTTTTGTGTTAAAAAGCAGTGAAATAAAGACAGAAAAAGAGAGTGTCTCTTTTGTATAAGAACACTGAAGCTAGGAGAAATGATATGAGTACTTTAAGTATTTCCTTGTACAAGGGATAATCTATTATAAGGACTATTGTATAGTGAATATTTAGAATTTACTTAGGAGAGATGGATGGATAGATAGAATAGATAGATGAGATAAATGAGAGAGAATGGAATGACAATTTATTGCCCATTCTTGCTACTTATTTATAACATTTAAAAGCTTAATATTAAAATGATACCATGTATATTACATAGTTTCCAAAGATACATTCATAAAATTATGAATCTTGTCAAAAAAGTTGCCATTTCAACTTGGCTGCTTTATAATCAAGGATTAGCTGGTTCTACAGGCATCTTATCAAGAAGAAAAGTGAGAAGATAGTCTCAAAGCAAGGTCACAGTCATTTTAGTTCACAGCTCAAGAAGCTGCTTGGCATGTGCATGTGGTATGTTTTATGTAGAGCACGGCTTGATTTTGTAAAAAATTTCTTTGCATCTGGTGATGTTACTGCATGAATTCTTATACCCTTTGTGAATCATTTGGAGGTTATCCTAGCTTTTGTTTTCACTCTGAATGTATGAATTTATCTTTTAGATTTCCATGTAGAGGAGGCACTGGATTGGCCTGGAGTGTACTTGTTACCAAGCCAGGTTTCTGGGGTAGCTCTGGACCCTAACAATAATCTAGTGATTTTCCACAGAGGCGACCATGTCTGGGATGGAAAGTAAGTAATATTTTTTTCCTTCAAGGTGTAAATGGAAATAAAAAGCATATATCACTTTTCATTAAGAATAATGTTGAGAGAACTGTTGTTTCCTTTATGCTTTGATTATTTTTCCAAGAATACTGTAGAAGATGTATTAAGTACTTGCATCTAGAGATATGTCAAAACATGGGTGACTTTCCTTATGTGATATTACTAGTCAGTGATAACTATTTCCAGGATTTATTGTTAACTAATGATATGTACGATGATACTCTAATTATATTATAATATGTCTTTGAACACTTCGTCCCCTGGTTCTTTGTACCCCCTTGCAGGAATTATGATTAGATCTATGTTTTAAGCTAGGCATGGTGGTGCACACCTGTAATCCCAGCACTCGAGAATCTGAGTCAGGAGGGTTATGAGTTTAAGGCCTGTCTACTACAGAGCAAGTTCAAGGCCAAGCTGAGCTATCAAGTTTGAGGCCAGCCTGAGCTATATAATGAGACCTTACCTCAAAAAATATGTTTTATATTTCCACATCATTCTTTTCTGACCATGATTTTTATGGGCAAATCATATTTTTTATTTTAATGTGTGTGAGAATCAACAGGGAGCAAGTCTTGTGCATTTAAAGCAAAGTAGTCTTATCCACTAGTTTATGGAAAAAAGGATGTAACCATTCACAGTTCTGCCTTACTTATCATTTTGCCCCCTCCTCCTTGAAATTGCTTTCCCTTCCTAAAGGAAAAAATATAAAAAAGTAGTTCTGCCCATGCATTGATGAGATATTTGAAGCCTTTGAAAAAAGTGATCAACTATGAAGGATTACTGGTTGACTATAATACAGTATTTTGTTGTTTTCCTGCCTGGGCAAAACGACCCTAAAGCCACTGGGCTCTCTCCTTCCTCTTAGATCTTTCTTGGACATTGTGATTGGAGCAGTTTGGCCACTATGTGTGTAGAAACAGTGCCCTGGCATTCACATTTTAAATAGATTAATTGTATTACTAAACTATGTCCTTTTAAGACTTAAAACTGTCTTTTATTAGAACTGTCCAATACTCCTGCTTTTTCGTCTGGGTTTATCTTCCCTTTATACTCTTCTACAGTTTTCTTAGAGAGACTTTCAGTAAAAATGTCTTAACATTTATTAAGTATGTACTGTGGGCCATCCGTGTTCTAAATGTCTACATAAATTACTCATAATAGTTAGGCACTGTTACAGTTCACATTTTGTAGATGAAAAACCAGGCATTTTACCCAGTGTCATGCTTACAAGAGGCAAAGCCTGGCTTCAGGTTCTTCCCATGTAACTTCAGAGTTGGTCCATTTAACTGCACAGTGATACTGCTTCTAATAGATTTGTAAGCACACTCATGTAAATGTTTTTTTTTAAAAAACTCTCCCCAAAATTTAGCAGGTAATTTTAATTCTCCTGAGGAATGAATATCCATTTCTTTTATTACAAGTTTACACAGGTAGGTAGATTTTAAATGTCTTGTCAAAGTCTTATCTTTTCCTTTCATATTTACAACTGTACTGTCTCATTTGGAACACTGAGGATCTACATGTTTAAGTTCAATTGTTTTTCCTCCATTTTCATAGATATGATTACATTAAACTCACTTTGTCAAACATACAAATCTGTAGCTTTCCTGGTGCAGTTGGAGATGGAATTCAGTCAACTTTTCAAAGTGGATTCATAGCTTTGTTACTGTTTAATTACCCATTCTAGTCGTCACAACTTGAAAGTGGAAGCTCAGAGAGAGATCACTTCAGAGTTCAAGGCAAACAATGGAACTCAGCATTCCTATCCATACATCTTCCTTACATCATCTTAGTCCTCACTGAACATCTAATAGCATTTTAACAAGAGCTTTTAAAAGCAAACTATTACTACTCATTGTAGCCTATTCTTCATTTTAATGAATATTGCTACATTTTCTTCATGGATTTCTAGCCACATTTTACCAGACAAGGAAATTACAGCATCATTTTCTCCCATTGATACTATTTCAGCTGGCAAGAGCTTACTTGGACAAAGTCCAATTTTCCATTTTAATGTGACATTCATTCCAAGTAAACAGCAGAGGCTGGAATAGTTCACTAGAAAAAAGGGATCAGTGAAGGCCAGCTTGGCATAAGAGACGACACAGGACTATGAAATGAGAATCATAGAAGAGCACTTTCTGTGTCTTATATGGCAGTCCTAGTTGAAGAGTTGCTTTTTCCTGGCTTCTAGATAACCAGTATTATGTGGAAGTAGATGCCAGTTTGATGGCCAAAACCCCCATGTGTTTGCCCTGGTAAATGGCATCAACAAAGAGGTGCTTGCTTAAAATCCAAAACTTCAGAAATGGTTTTACTTATTAAATCTCTGTTTCTTCTTTCTCCTTCATCTTTATTTTTCAGATGTAGGAATATCCCTTCTCTCTCCCTATCTGTCATTGTCTGCTGTCCTCTAGCAGCCTTTCCAGTGGTGGTTTTAAGGAGCATTTTTCTAGTGCTCAGATGTCTGCTTCCAGCCACTCTCTGCTTTATTATTCATGAAAAGAATTAAAGTAGATTACTCTGTAGTTATTTTTTAGGAACATCTATTTGGATTTTTTCAAAGGAAAATTCTATTCATATCTGTTCTTTGAATAGTTATGTGTAGCCATCTTCATGTGTGTGTGAGACAGTGTATAAATTAGAGTACATAGCTTTCTTCTCCATTAAAAACCTCAAGGATTATACATAGAAGAAGATAGCATCTTCCTGTAGAATTTATGCTGTAAAGAGCAAGTGGAAATTAAAGTCTTGGTGCAAATTGTATTCTTGTTCCTGCACTGTTTGGATAGGGAAGTAAAAAATTCTGTATCAACTTTGCTTAGAATCTGTCCTACCCTGTTTCACAGATTCACAAAATTCTAAGTCCCATAAGGCAAGGGCTTGCTGTAACTCAAATCTAACGTCTGTATTTCCCATAGATCTTAGGAGATGGTAATTTTTTTATGTATCAACGAGTGCCTGAAGTTAATAGTTATCTCTAATTAATATTCAGCACCCAAAGCTCCTTTGATGCTGGGCATTAACTGTCTTTACAAGTACTTTTACTCTGCGTTACTACCTGATAACCCTGATCAATGCTTACTCTTCCATTTAGTCATGCTAAATGAGCATGGCAACCAAAATAATATTAATAAAAACAATATATCACTTAATCTCCTTAAAAATAATTATCAGTTCCTTTCTCAATTTGATTTCCAGTTTTCTTTTCTGAATATCCCTTACTTCAAGATGGCTAGTTTAAGAAGCTTCTAGTAAGAGATAGGAAATGCTTATTGCCAGCAGGGAGTAATGAAACTTTAAAGAGCTTCTTTTCTGCCCTGATGTCCGGGCAGCTTGGCAAGTAGAGCTCTTTCATCTTTAAATGCCTCCCAGCAGGAGCTGGTAGCGCCTATCTCAGTAACAGCTGTTCCTGGACCTCTGTCTCAAAATTACCACCACAATCAAAGGCTTGCTTCATGTCTTTTCTTCCAGCTATGGTTGGCTTGTACCATGCAGGACTCATATCACATACCTACTTAACTAAACTGTGGGTCTGCCCCCTCATTTTTAGGTATTTTAAGTTGTATCACTTATCATTTCTTCACATGAAGTTGGACAGGATCTTGGAAGGTATATCGCTTCAGATTCTTTCTGCTACCAATAGGAGAGAGAATTCAACACAAACTAGCCTTGTGAAAGAGGTAATTTATTACTTTGTAAAAATGAAAACTTCGAGGGTTATTGTAGCACAAACAACATTACCAGTATCCATTTTTCAATTTTCTCCAGGTTGGTCCGTTTCCAATTCCTAGTTAATGCTGCTTGTCCTCTTCCCTGATAATCAACAGAAAATGCTTAAGTTGAGTTTTCATAGCATTCTTTAGTCTGACTTAAATTCTCCATCCTTACAAATTAGTTGAGAATGGGGCTCAGAATGTTGAGTCAACCAAAAAAAAGCTGAAGTCTCATTATTGCAGTATGGGGCACTACCCATTGAGCATCCACAAAAGCAAATGTCTGCCAGAGTCATCTCCAACCTCTAGCCTAATATTTATATCTTTTCTACAACATCTTCAATAGTCATTATGTATCTGGGCTTCTTTAATTCCAGAAAATTCCTGATATGGACATGCTATCTAATTATGAGACCCTTCTAGATGTTACAAAGTTTTTCATTGAGTTATACTCAAGTCAGAATCCATACTCATGACAACAGTTTAAAGTGGATTTACTCCCATTTTCCATGTCAGTACTTCCATTTTTGAAGAAACACTTACCTTTTATAGAGTAAATATTCCCCAGACCCTCAACATATCTTCATGCTGACATGATTGCTTTTACCTGAAGGTACTTTGGTTTCTCAGGACTTTAATGTGTTTTGTCTAGAAGTGGCTATAATACTTCACAAATTATCTAGCCAGTGATACAATTATTTTTTTTGATGTGTATTCTAGATATATATTAGTACAAAAGAATTGTACTGACCTTTTTTCTTTTTTTGTGGTGCTAGTGTTCAAACCCAGGGCCTCATGCATGCCAGACAAGTGGTCTACCACTGAGTTTACCCCCTCCAGCCCTTCTTTCCTTTTTAAATCAGATATATCATTATGTTGCTTTCAGTTGAATTTTGTACTGTTTAATGAAATTATACTGAATTTTTTACCCCAAGCTTACACAATGCTTTTTAAAATACTGAATTTAAGACTTTATTCCAGTTATGTTTCACCTCATTAGATTTATCATGTTTAAATTTAAAGAAATTATTTAATCCCAGTTTGCCAGAAAATGAGCTCCCCTCCTATGCTTGTATTAGGTCTCTTTGATAAGTATGCCTTTCATATCCTGTTGTTTATAATATGTGAATAATTGAATGGTTGTTTATGCAAGATTTGTACATAGAGAATTCAAGATATTCTTGGAATCCTTAGGATAGCTCACAGATCATCTTTCTATGGAATTGTGCCTAGACCTATTACTTTAGAAAA